TTTGTGGCCTGTTCCTGGTTTCAGGTGTCTCAAGTATACAGTCCAGTGTTGTGGAGCTTGTGCCAGAAGAGGAACTAAAACTCAGGATATCTCAGCATATCTACAAAAACAGATCTGGTCCAAGGTTTTAGTAGCTAGAGACACTTCCAAGTTGCATCATGGGAAATATGGGATACAGCAGTTACTGAGCCTACCCCAGACCTGGTATCTCCAACAGGCCTGCATCTAACCACGGTTTTAGACAGTTAGAGGCCCCAAGTTTCTCTGGTTTAACTAAAAAATACTACTGAGTTGCATTGGAATTGTAGGGTCCAGTGTTGTTTGATATACTACAGAATAAAAAAAAAACATTTCTCTACTTCTTCTTTTGACTATACTTTGTGTTGTTTGTGACAAGGAAACCTCCTTTTTTTAATAGTTAGAGAGACAGACAAGACCAAAGATAAGAATATTACTTGGAACTAGAAACAAATGTATAATATGTTTTCTATATAGCTGGAAGCAATACAGAATAAAGTACAGAGTTGGATTGCATTATGAGCAGTGTTGGGTTGAATCATTGTTTTGTTTTTAGTGTTTTCTTTTACCAAAAGCATGTGGGCTATTTTCTGTCTCATTGATTGATTTTGAATATTAAAACAAGCTGCTCAATATTGTGTAAATCCCATTTGTGCTGCTGAAACAGCTCTGACCCGTTGGGGCATGCATACAGGACCTGGAGGGGTGTCCTGTGGTGTCTGGCACCAGGATGTTGGCAGCAGATCCTGTGGTCCTGTGGGTTGCGGGGTGGGGCCTCTGTGGATGGGGCTTGTGCTGGCGCATCCCAGAGATGCTCAAAGGGATTGAGATCAGGGGAATTTGGAGGCAGGGTCAATGCCTTGGGCTGGTGTGGCCATGGGGGGTGTGTGCTTGGTTTGCAGTGATGTTTAGGTGGTTTTTATGTGTCAATGTCGCATCCACATGAATGCCGGGACCCAACGTTTACCAGCAGAAACCTGGCACTGTAACAAGATGATTACTGTATACAGTGGTTGTAATGGTGTGGCTGATGGGTGTATGTACACTTTCACTGTCCTGAAATGTTGTGTAACTTTTTGTCAAAACCACCTCAATGACCATTTAATCGGTGTTGTGAGTCCTGTGTTGCAATCCAAAACATTATGGACATCATACACAGAAATAATTAGTTATTTTAAGACCATGTGACAATAAATCTTGTCACATCTTAGGAATTGTAAAAAAGTTTCTCAGTTCTGGTCCTAAGAGCAGAACTTTGCCAAAGTAGTGAAGTGGTTTCTCTTTATGCTCATGCAGGATAGAAAAAGGCATCAGCAGGGGATGAAAGCAAATGTCAGATTAAAGCAGTAAATACAGACAAGAAGCATCATTTAGCGGCCATAAACCCGAACCAGAATTAGGATCGTGAAGAGAAAAGTCCATATTTCAAGGACGCCGTCTGGATGGGGGCAGAGAAAGCAGCCAAATTGGATGAAGTTAAGCCGCACTAACTGCTTGTTGTGACTCGGGAGAGAAAACTCAATCGTCCCTTTGACCAGCCGGCAGCACTGAGAAAGGATACATTGTTCCTGTGTTTTGGGTGGATTATGAGGGGACGTGTCACAACAGCAGGTTTTTGACAAGGTCTTGGGTGTCTGCTGTCGTGCGCATTACTGTCAGGAATGCCGATGAGGCCTAATGAGGTTTTAATCCAGCCAGAGTCATTAGTGGCAGGTCATCTTAAAACAATCTGGGGTCACTCTGTATTAAGGCTACAGAGGTCCACTCCCACTGGGTCACTGAGCATGGCACTGACACTTCAGCAGCTTCTGCTCGTCTATTAAAAGAGGTTGTGTCTAGTTGGCTGTTGTTCCATTAAAAAAATAAAAAAAATAAAAGTAGGACATCTCTGCCACTTGACTTAATGTTGAGACTGAACAATTAGCCAGATTTTGGAACATATGAAACTGCCAAATGCTAACCTGGTCGGTCTGTTTCATCATTTGTAAATTGCTTAAAATAAGATGATCAACTAAATGTGTATCATTACAGTATCATTGAAGAATTTGCATCTACTTTTTTTTTTTTGGTGTTAATTCTCCGTTCATAACCGTTCGTTTCGTTTGAAGGCGCTTTACTGATTTTGTCAAAGACCCAGGAAACAAATCAAAGCACGGCTTCTGACGAGTGGCTTTTACCTTGGAGTTCAAGTCATCCCCAGGACGGCTTTTCAAACTTACTAAGATGTGCTAATTAATATGTTTTGCCCCAAGAGCAGTGTGAGTCATCAAGATTTCACAGTATGTTTACAGAAAGGATTTCGGGGATGTTTAAAGTGCAGATTTGCAGTAAGCATATTTTTTTTTATTTTTTTTGAAAGCATCATCTCCTCCGGGTGAGGTTTAGTAATCCAAAAAGCTTGCCCTCTTTTTCCTCACTGGGGTCTTTAAGAAAAGTGCTGTAAAATGATGGTGATTATAATCAAGATGACGACGATAATGATGTACTGTAAAGGTAATGGAAGATGTACTGCCAGCATTGAGCACAGCTGCCGAGCTCGTAGTGACTGCGACACACTGCAGAAAATCCAAATCCTATGAAGACCTTAAAGCCTTTTTTTATTACATGACTCCACAAAAGGAATGTTTGAACCTTTTCATAATATCAATTCACTCCTAGCAAGAGAAAAATAAGGCAGTTATTGCATTTAATTCAGGAATAACAAACTGATTTAGAAAATATTCAAGCTTTTTCACTAAGGGAAACAGTTTGGAACATTTTTCACTGCTAGATATTTAACTCATCAAAATTTATTAGATTTACAAAAGATGTGAAATAAAGTGGATCTTCTGAAAGGCATCGCTACAAGTCAGGATCTCACAGTGAGCTGTCACTCAACTCTGCTGTTCCTTCCAGCTTTACATTTTGCTGTTTTTCAACTTAGTGTTTTGGGTGTTAGGCTTTCTCATTGCTGTTCAGTCTTCAAGCTTTAGTAAACTACACTTCCAGTGACAGTAAAGAGGTGTTTTCTGCTGCTATTTGCTACCAGGACAGCCACAAGCTGGTTAACACAGTGGAGCCGTTAGCATTTCAAGACTGACATAGTTGTTTTTTTTTTTTCCTAGGAGTTAGTGAAAACCAGAACAAAATGAAATCATAGGGTAATATTACTTCTACATTCGTTAGGTGCACAGACACGACAACTGTTTGCAGATTCATGCTTTCCACATCTGCGTGTCTGCAAGGGTCCATGTGACATACATTTCGTCATCTGCCCAAGTTGATGAGGAGCCACACAGACATCCGCAAAGAGGTCAGCATGCAGTCTGACATTTGTGACTGCACGGACTGTTCACACTGCGAGTGCGCTGGCTGTGCATGTGCCAAGAAAACAAGAAGTGCGAAGAACAAATGCCTGTTAGAATTCTAAGTGCGAAGACATCCTCCATCATCCACACTTTAAGAGTTCATCGTTAAAAGAATTATGAGTGCAGTAGTCACTGCTTGACTTTGGTGGTGCTTTGATTTGTGTTACATTGTGGTGACCAAATACAATAGATGCACTCTAAAATCTCCAGACATCCCATCATGTCCAGCCTGAGAGACTTTTTTTGACACATGCCAACCTTTAGTGTTACGTGTAATCTTCAATATGAGGGGTAATGCAACTAGCTGAGTAGCCAGAGTGATTTCTGCTTTCCAAGTCAATCAGAACTCCAGGATGCGAAAACCTTAACACACGTCATTTTTACTATAACAAGGAAACTAGATGCAAATTTAAGCTCATGGTCATAAAGTTGATTAAAGCAGCTTTTACTTTGCTCTAGGGCTGAGCAGTTTTTCCGAAAATATCATTTAAATCACAATATGGGTAATTGCAAAATTCAGATCACAGGAGCTGCAATTTTTTTCATAAAGGTACATTGTGTCACAACCTATCATTAGAAATGAAGCATTGTGGTGCAACAAAGATGGCCCTGTCAACAAATCATATGAGGCATAATGGAACGAGCTTGTTTGGTGTTGAATGCAGTAAAAATTGCATAGTTTTAAGTAGACAATAAATGTCAGACGGCACTAAAATCGAGCCTAATTTAACAATTGTTTACTGTGGACACAAGATCCTTAAATCATATTTCGTGTGTGCTTCTATGGTAATAGTCATACATGATGATGTAGTAATGCTTGTTACAGAAGAATTAGTGGTCCTTCTTGTGAACAGAATGAGCAACAAGAGCACCAGCACTGGTCATGGTTTGTTATTATTCAAATCAGAAGCACAATAGCTCGTTGGTGCCGCAGAATGAGTGTAGTAGCACCAGCAGTGGAACAGTAATTGCAGCAGGTGTTTTTTTCACTAGAAGCAGTAATTGTGTTCGTTGATACGGCAGTACACTGTTGGATAGTTACAGTAAAGTGGCCGTACATGACACAAATGTCACCTGAAGCTCCGTCCACACAAGGGTGTAAAGTTCAGTACCATCGTCTACCTTTGGCATTGGTATGACAACTAAAGAAAACACAACTGTGCAGGTACACTGTTTAGCAAATCTAAATGTGGTAGCACTTTATTCAGACACTTAAAATGAGTCATGTAAAGAGCCAGACATAATTTGTGTGCATAAGACTGGTGTCAGAAGGTTACAGGTACACCCCTCTCCTCTCTAAGAGGCTTTCTGAATAGCTTTGTCATCAGGGAGAGTAAGTGGCTGCTTGTTCCACTGGAAATGTTGGAATTAATTGAACTGAATTGTCATTCATAATCTACATGTTGCAGTTTTCCACTGGCTGGGATAACGCTACCTTCCGCTGTGCGCGCTGTAATTGAAATTTCGATCATGAGGTGTAAACATTTAGAGGCGGCCCCGTGAATATTCATCAACTCACGAGGGCCGCTGAGTGTTGGCGGAGGAGTCGGCTGCGGCTGATTTGTGGCCGGCTTTATGCGTGCGTGTTCTGAGAGGGTTTGCCCTCCACTTATTGACATGTTCTTCTCTAAACAGCTCCGTCCCAGGTCAGCGAGGTCATCAAGGAGAAAGTGCAGCAGCGCAGCATTCAGCTCTCCTGGCAGGAGCCCCAGCAGCCCAATGGCGTCATCACAGAATATGAGATCAAATACTACGAAAAAGTGAGTTTGCCGTACATTTGTTTGTCTTTGTCTCTTTGTGAAGCCCTTTTTTTTCCCCCTCTCCCTTCTGTCTCTCAGCGTCACATCCACTTTTGCCGACTCTTCATTTTGTATTCTATCTGCACGCTGCTGTGAATGGAATTCACAAGATTCTGCAAGTACCTTCTTTGTCTCATAATTGCAATAATGAATGAGATGCTCATAAGATTTTAATCAGACTGTGGTCCTTCACAGCTGCCCCCCCCCCCGCACATGTTAGCACACACACACACACACACACACACACACACACACACACACGGCTGTTGCACTGCCAGAATTAGCAATCTGTTACTGTTATCTCCTTCCCCCTTTCCACATAGATTATACCGCCGCTTCCCTGTGTTTCAAGTCTGAACACATCAGCTTTTTACAGCGAGGTTTAATGGAGCGAATTTAACCCGGCAAATCAAAGGCAGGGTAGCAGAGCTCTGATGCCAGTCCTGCTGGCCACAGCCTCTCGCACACACTGACGAATCAGTCTCCTGTGTCACGTACTGTGGCTGTGGTCTGCCCAGCTGTAAAAGTGGAAAATTGGAAACAACGACTACACCCCTAACAGACCCTGGCATTCCATTTGGGCTTTTGCCGAGCAAAACATTTACAGATCAACAACAAAGTACACAATGCATACGGCCCGTGCATCCCAATGCGTTCCTTGATATAGAAGATATTCTTGGATGTGTTTATGTTCTCTGTGTGGCCGGCCTGCCTGATGGCATGATGGTAATTTCAGATAAAATTGTAGCGCTATACAACCATGTAAAGCACAACAAGGAAAATATGACGTTGATGTCATTTTTATTAATACCCTAAATTCTCAAATAAGAGTCCAGCATAGCTCAATCACGTCTATAGTATATATTGTTAATAGTATGCAACACTTCAAACTGATGCTTCACCTGAGAAATATAAAATGAAGACTATGCACTTTGAGCTACTGTAAGGTTTTGAATGTGAAGTGCATTAAATCTTGAGGTTCATTGATGGCAGCTCTACAGCAATGAAAAAAATATCGACAACTAGAAATAGAAGTTTCAATGCTATTAAAATTGGAATCTTACAGCAGATCATGCGGCTAAAATGACATTATCTTATGTTAATAATGCAAGAGAAGTATACAGCTTGCTAAGTTTGGCAAGATATCCACATGAACTTCTAAAAATGGGAAAAATTTGCACTGAAAGTCTGTTTCTAATGAAATCCTTATTTAAGTAAAGATCAGTTTATGATATGGAAAATGAATATGAAAAAGACGACTGAACTTGGATGAGTTTGTCTCGAATCGCCCCATTTAGTTGTGTTTCTCCAGTTGGATGAAACATCGCTGTATCAGGTTCATTCCGTTTAGAAAGTGCAGGTAATTACATCCTCTGAAGTATATCTGCAGCACGTTCAAAGCAAAGACTTTCAAGATAACAACACTTCAATGGGACTCAATTATGAGCTAGTTTTCTCAGAGCGGTTAGATGTTCTTTTTTCGAGCTAATTGGTAAAAAAACTTCATTTTGGGGGAGAAATAAGAAAAGACGATTTCTTCTCTGTGCAGGATCAGAAGGATCGGATCTATTCCACGGTGAGGTCCAAGTCCACGTCGGCCACGGTGAACAACCTGAAGCCCAGCACGGCCTACATCTTCCAGATCAGGGCTTTCACGGAAGCAGGATATGGCACCTACGGCCCCAGACTGGAGATAACCACCAAGGAAGAGACCACAGGTAGAGTTTGCTGTTGTGTTCGTTCTGCTCCACGTGTTCTGTGGTTAGAAAGTGGATTCTATGCAGATACGAACAGCATGGTTTATCCTCAGTACGTTTCCACCAGAAATGCAGTATGAAGCTTGACTGATGCTCCACGTGTTTGTTTTTTTTTTACTGTGTTCTCACATTGAAGCCTCAGCAGTAGAACTAAGATGTATTTGTTTTAGATCAGATCTTTTAACACCACCTTTGTTTGCAGTCGGACCCACGTCCTATTGCATACACAACTAAGACGCCCCCTTTTTGTACAAATCTTTCTTACTTTTTTTGTTTTGTCATTGACACTTTAAATCAATTTCATTCATATAGGCCTCTTCTCATTATATATAGCATTCAGTCTTTAAAACAAACAAACAAAAAATCACATCCCAATTATATTATTTTGACTCTGGTTAAACGTCCTTAAATATTCCTATGAAGTATTTGGACTCGGAACACCTACTTTTTTTTAAAGATGTAAATTCTACTTTACGTTTTATATTGAAAAATGTCCCCAATGTTTGTTTTTTTCTGTTGCATTAATCCTTTTAGCCCCAAGCAGTTTAACATTTTACTCACTGTAAGCTCATTTTTTACTCCAACATTTTTAATTTGTTTCCATATTTGCCTCCTTATCAGCTCTTTGTAAACACAGCCTGCAGTTTATTGGAAAGGTCTTTTCTTTTTTTTTCCTTTCTTTTTTGGACATGACTGCTGGTCACAGCTGAGTCAGTCATGGCTTCTCAGTTTGGCCGAGGAATCTGGTCAGGTTTGTCTTTAGCAATTTTTTAAACAAGATATATAAAATGACATGAATCTGATGAAGTATTACCATTGGTGGTTCAAACATGAGTAGTTCAAACGCCTTCAAGGAAGCTGAAAATCCAAATTTTCTTTTTGTTTTCAATTTCTGGCTCTAAGAAACATGCCATTTTGGCAATTTTTTAAAACTAATGTTGCCTTTTAAATCCACTGCCAGATTTCGGGGTTCAGAGTTTTAAAATATTTGAAGGGGGCATCATATTAGAAAGCAGAATTTTGTCTTTTTGCCAATTTGAGCAAAAGCTACACATATAGCAGATGAGCTCTCACATCAGATTGCAGTATATTGCACAAGTGTTCCTAATAAAGTGCTCTGTGAGTGTATATAAGCTTATGAGGAGTATAAACGGCAGCACAACACTGAATACAGAAAAGTGAGCAATGTAGATGCTTCATAAAACCGAATAATACACGTATAAAGTACATTTTGGTGATGGCTATTTTGCATGAATATACATTATTTATGCAGTCAAGATGGAAAAAAGTAAAAAAATAAAAATAAAAAAAAAACACATCTCTTTTTTCCATACTCATCATCTGGAAATCATCTGGAATCACTTTTTGTCCAGCTTGGTTTTTCATTGATATTGTGCCAATATACAATCAGTGCAAACAGTTTATTTTGCACATGCGATGCTAATCTCAAACAAAAGTCATCTGTAAGTGAAATCTGATGGAGATTCGACGCAGCTGTAAAAGCGCTGATGAACTGGGTGTAATATGACAAAAGTAGTAAAACGGAGAGAATTTGCACCTGTCCAATCACATTTTACACGACAAGCTCTCTTAAGGCTGCGTGACTCCAAATGCAGGAGTTTGAACCGAAGCAGTATATCAGCACAGATTTTATTTTATTTTATTTTTTTTTTTAACTCAACAATTTATGCACAACCTGTTAATGTGTCCAGCTACTGTAGTAATAGCCCAGGGAAATTATTTGCTTTCAAGCAAAGCAAACACAAATTGCTTTGACTTTATGCTGACAACACGTCATGGGAAAAATCACTAAGCACAAGGACAAGCTACTGTAGTGTCATGAGGATAAACTCATTTAAATCTAATCAGTTACATTAGCTCCAGCCCTGAGTCTCACGGTGCCTTGTTGTGAGCCTTGCTGAGGGATGATGCTGCTGCGAAGGGGGTTATGGATCTGAAGCATCTTTAGATATTGTGAACATGGACAGACGTGAGGTTTGGCCACAATTCATGTCTTTTAAATTCCACTCTCTGCTTTCAAATTTCCATAAACAAAGCCAATTTTTTTTTCCTTTTTTTTGTAAATAGGAATAACCTAGGGGTTTATTAATGCTTGATACATATAATGTAAAAGCTACTTTATTGAACAGTTGCACCTGCTGCTTCCATACTTCTATTTATTCAGAATTTTAGCATTCTTTAAGTATCCAACTACCTGTAAGTCACCTATCCGTTTTCTCCTCCTCAGTTTAGAACCCCACGATCCGACCCGCCCACGCAAAAACCGCGCTCGCATCCAACGTTCCCGCACAAAAGGGCACATTAATTACTCACACCATATGCAGAGTGTGTCCTGTAACAAGGTTAGAAGCTTGTAGTCCAGTCAAAGCGTCCTTGACCGGCACGGGGAACCGCCGGCCTCCTCCGTGACAGCCTCAAGAGGGAGACCTGCAAGTGTGTAATATGACAGTCGAGTGCTCTTACTTCCCTTCCCAAAAATAGACGATTGGTAATATCGAAGCTTGATTGAGTAACAGCTGAGGGAATGTCGGCACATTTTTTAGCTCCCCCCCTCCTTCCCTCTGCTCTTGTCAGACGGTATAGTATTTCTCAGCATTTATACAGTGCAGATCCACTTGATTTAAAATGCATGAATTTTCTCCCACCCTCCTCTCCTCTCCCCTCATACACCACTCACGTTGACTTTACACACGGCAAGCCGTTCTTCGGAGCGATCGGCAGTTTGTCAATGCAAACAGTCTGAGCACTGTGAGAGCTCTGAATGGGAAACAATTCAACCTGAATGTGTCTTTGTTTGAGATGAAGGGCATCGCCGTCGCCGTCTGGGACTATTAAGCCCACTTTCTGAAACAGTAGAGCCGTGTGTATAAGGACGGCTCAAAAATAGAAGCGTCCCTCCTCCACTCCTCTCTCTCGGAGGAGAAGGGGTTGGGTGAGGGAGGAAGAGGGTTATCAATCTCCACGCCGCTCATTGGGCTCGATTACTGTATGTCCTGCAGATCTTTGATGTGCTGAAGTTCACGCAGAGCTTTTTTTTTTTCCTCTCTCTCTCTCTCTCTCTTGTCTTTTCTGTCCATGTCATCAGCCGCGATCGTCTCCAGCGAGCAGAACCCCGTCATCATCATCGCGGTGGTGGCTGTGGCGGGGACCATCATCCTGGTGTTCATGGTGTTCGGCTTCATCATCGGGAGAAGGTACGCTCTCGCGGGCCCCATTGACTCTCCGCTCCTGTGAGTCTGCGCTTGTCAATTAGCCTTTCTGTCACTCACAGGCCTCCACGTCTGTGAAGTCGTCACACGCGCACACACGTGCACTCATCATCTCGTGGCATGCTGTGCTAATGGGTTGTGATGCATCACCCCCCCCCCCAACAATTTTTTATTATTTTTTTTTTTTCAAAGCCATTTCTGCAGAGCCATAATGAGACAAGTACTCCAGCGTGAGAAAGCTTTGGCTCTGCATTCCTGTGTTTTGAGTGTGTAAGATCCCGGGCGCAGGACAAAGCATGGCGCTGATTTTTTATTTTAGTTTTTTTTCTACCACCACAAAGCACCCGGCCCGTTGTCAAATAGTACCATTTCCTCGCACGTTTCATCTGTGTTTTCATCTGCATGAAAGGAATTTCATCCAGACTTGCTTTTCATGATAGATTCAGCGCAACAGTGTTATTTTAAACCTTGGTATATCTTGTGTCTGAAATCGCCCTCCTTCTTTTCTAAGGTATAGATCCAAAGAGACTTTCACTTTGCAGTGTTATCAATTAAAGATCAAGTAAAAGCAGGTGCAAAAAGCCACTTCTAATGCAAACTAGTTCTTCAGAAGTCACAATACCCATTAACTGCTTCTTAATTTAGATGTTTTAGCCCCTTAAACTTTTCAGATTTCAACCAAACGGACTTTATATGTACCAAGTAAAGTTTCAGAAACAATCCAATGAATATTTTTTAGCACGTAACTTCATTCAAAGTGCATTTAAAGTGAGACAATAAAACACTTTAAATCACACCAGCAGTCACAATGAGCGCCCTTTGCCTTTGAAACAGTTTGTCAAGCTACTTGCCAGATAGGTTGTTCCAGCATTGTGGAGACCTTGTTACAGTTCATCTGTGGATTTAGTCTGTCTCAGTGTATCTTAACGTAATCCCAGACGGACTCCACGATGTTGAGATCACGGATCTGCGGGGGCTGCACCACCTGTTGCAGGACTACTCGCTCTTCTAGTTGCTGAAGATAGTTTTTTTTATGACTCTAGTTGGATGTTTGGACTTGTTGTCTGCTGCAGAATGAATTTTGGATCATGTAATGTGATGGAAACATCTAAAGAGCTTCAATCTTTTGTACAGTGCTGCATGTCTACATAATTGTCCATCTGGGCTCCGGTGTAGTTCACAGCTAGCTCTGTGGTAGCATTACGTGTCCTGTTTGCATCACATTTGATGCAAACAAGCTTTAAGCGCAGGCATCCCAAATGGAAAGTTTCTGTTTTGTTTGTTTTTTTTCATTCTGAAAACTCTGATTTTGGGTTTTCCTATAGTGATATCCTCATTTAACACAGCAGACCTGGTAAATGAAACATCATTGTAGGTTTACATCACAGCCATCAGTTTGACTTATTTCAGTTTTGCTTCCGAAAACCACTTTTTAAACATTGTTTTAAAGCATCCTGAAATCTGTGATTGGCTGTTTTAAACAAAACGGCTCATTTGAAGTCATAGTTAACGCATAAATTCTCATTAAGGCTTGTGCCGTGGACTTTTTTTTTTTTTTTCACCCAAGAACCAGATGATGATTCCAAAAGTTGGACGCGAGTTTCATGCCTCTCCAAAGCCTTCGCGTTCTCAAACCGTCAGCTACAAAACACAGTCTGTGCACAAAATAAATTGGGACTTTTACTTTGGGATGCTTAAAATAGCTCCCTCAACTTCTGTACTCTTAAAGAAACAATAGGAGCTTTTACGGTTCATTTTGTGACATTACTTAGGCTCAGAAAGTCCCTTCGACATAGTTCATGCAATGTATAACTGAAACACTGACTTTCTCCAGCCTGCCTAGAACACATACAGTATGCTATCAGTCGCATCACATCTGATGGCAGTTCTGAGTCGCGTATTCAACTCATATTCTGAAGACAGCAGCGTGATAAGTCCACATTGAAACTAGAGACAGTAATCTGGCAGAAACATTTCAACTCACGGTGCACTTACTTGCTTTTTCGGAAGCTTAAAGTACTCGCAAATAACTAGACGAAGAAGGACGGGGTTGAAGGAAGTCAAAGCATGTAGCACGAACAGTGGAGACACGCTACCGACACGCGTGTTTTCATCTGTAAGTAAGTGCATGTCCATCATTTGCGGCTTATTTCACCTTCCCATGTCATCGCTTTTTTCAATTTGTGCTCAAAGACCAACCTTGTGCAGCAAATCACCTGCTTGAGGGAACCTTCAACACGTTAATATTACAGATTAATATTACAAGACATGTTGAACAGTCCTTTACAGTGCATGTATTATTTGATATGTTACATGATTAGAGACTTGAGCTACTTTTCCCCGGGTCTCGGCTGCTGGGCTCACAGTTCCTGCTGCTCAGCTGGGGTTTCTTAAGAGATTTGTCATGCACGGCATTAGTTGCCGCATTAAAATTCTTGTAATTTAGGGGCGTTTATTTCCTCTGCACAATCAGTTGATTCTGCCACTCTCTTCCTCTCCCCCCGTGCAGGCACTGCGGGTACAGCAAAGCTGATCAGGAGGGAGATGAGGAGCTCTACTTCCAGTGTGAGTGCCTGCATTCATCAGCCCAAACACACACATACAGTATGAACTGTACATGCACACGTGTATAGACGTCTCTATCGCTTCACACTGCAAAGAAACGGCGCTTTAAACCCTATTAGCACCCGCAGGCTTGTCTGTTTTATTCCCGTTTGAGACGAAGCCAGTCTCTAGCAGGCCAACATCTGCTCCTGATTGGCTAGAATCCGTGTGTGGAGATGAAGAAGTCAGGAAACTAGAAACACATGCATGTGACAGCTTCAAGTGATGGGGTAAAAGGCTGACCAGTGTATAAAGAAAGAGTTCTTTTAAAAAAAAACGGAACCATGCTTAAGTCAGATGGTTTTTTTAGCGGGTGACAGATTTTCTGGTGAGTACACAGTTCGTTCTATCATTCTTCTATCAGTAAGAGCTATTTCTTTTTCTCTCTCTCTCTTTTCTTAACTGATATACCACACCTAATGATGCCCCAGGAGATACAGCTGCAGACAGCTTCCCCAAGTGGAGCCGTAATGATCCACACTGTAGGCAAACTGCTGATTTGGAAACAAAGGGTCAGGGGTGTCACAAAGTGCACGACTAGAGCCGAGGCAGCACCGGTGAGCCCAGGTTGGCTGCTGCTAAGTATCTGACAGATCCACCTCAGCAGCTCACAAGTCCCACCTGCTTGAAAAAAAAAAAAACCCAAACTGGAAGAAAATACAAACAAGGGTAGTGTCGGGATTTAATGGAGGGATCCGCCGCACAATATCAAATGACGAGAGGCTGCCAGGGTGACAGAAGCTAGATAGCGTGCAAATCCAACATGTAGACCCAATTTGTCTGCCATGTAGGGGCGAGGAAGTCGTGATAAGACATCTCCTATCAGATCCGCTGACATCTTGGATGGACGAAGCAATTATGGGAGCAAGTGGAGGGAAATCTGGGCTCCCCCTCGTCGGAGCACAATGCATTTGTTGTATTTCTTGGTCAGCGTGCCTTTTCTGTACATGCAGAGCGTCCCTCCAACTGGATGTGCTCGCTGCTCTGTTGTGTTGTTTCAGTGTTTATCCAGAGTGTTATGACTGTACCAACTCATTAAATTTTAAAGTTGACAGTTTATGTTGTTATCGGTGGATTTTTAAAATGCATCGCGTAATAGCCCCCACGAGTGGTCTGTTAACGTAATAGTGCATAATGTTGTAATTTGCTCTTAATTTAGAGCACCGCACATAACAGTCACCCCTACCCCATCGCTGGCCTTCTTCTAACCTTGTTTGTTTTCCTTATTTTCTACAAACTGTTTCCATCTCATGGATATTCATGAATGGTTCCCATATCATTGTTGTTGGAGATTGCGCCAACTTAATTTTTTTTTTTCTTTTTAACGAAGTCCCACATCTCTCGCCTGAGGCATCAGTCTGTAACAAAAGAAGGCTGCAGCAGAGTTTCACACAAAACCTCATTTAGCTTCATTCAGAAGTGTTTTCTATAAGGGAAAATGTTGCATTTGCATCTGTCCTTTACCAGCTTATCGCTCTTTCTTTCATGTTCACTCCCAGTTTTTGCATATACCTGCTCATTGTCATCTGTAAATCAAAATGCAGATTGAACAACTGTTTTTTTTTTTTTTTAAGCCCTGAGTGGTGTCTCCTCCAACAATCAGACAGAAAGTGATGAGCAGAAATGCTGCGAGAATGTTGGAGGGATGGAGTACTTTAAAATATCAGAATTAAAAAGTATATATATTAATGTTATTTCAACTGTATTGATGGTTTAAAAGATATTCAGAGGTAGACAACCTTCATACAGCCTGACAGGCAAATCTCAGGGCAGAAAAACAAAAGTCATGTAGGTACTTTATGTGGAACTAAATATTTTATAGCATTGAAACATTACATTTTGAGATCCATTTATCTGATTTTGTGTAGTTTTAATGCACCTCCTTGACATTTCCACAATTCAATTTCAAGTGGTGCACTATAGTCAAAGCATTAAGGTTGATTTTTAAGTTGTTGTTGTTGTTGTTTTTTAATTGAGTAAGTCACCGACAGAGCATGGGTCTGAAAAGAAAAGATTGGAAACACTGGAACTTTTGTCCAAAATTCATTATAGAGTTTGGAATACATTCATTGAAATAATAATAAGCAGTGGCAGAACTTGAAATTGCCTTCTAAAAATTTCAAAGAGAAAAATTCAAACCATCTAAAATCTGACAAATGGTTTTCATAGTAAAATATTTCAAGGCTAGAAAACTGTAGCTTAAAAAATTCTTTGCTTACATAAAAAAAAAAAAAAAGTAATTAATGTTGTGAGCACAATGTAATAATATTCATCAGTGTGGGACAGAGGGATTTAAAGATGCAAATCAAACTGAAAGTGAAATTAAAGGGAACAGCCCTCCTTCTCTGGAATGATGTCATAGAATGAACCGACACAGCTGGTTTCAGGGTTTTTTCACTGGGGTAGTCTCAGTCGCATGGAGGTGAAAGGTGACCGACAGCCTCAAAAAAGCCCCACGCACGGGTTATTCAAATCTTTGCCTCCCTCTCTGTGCTGAATTTCCCCGTGTGAAAACCCTTTTTGACACCGGCCGCTGAGTGTTCAGCAATTCCCTCTGAATCACTGGTCTTAGTAATCGTTTGCCTGTCAAGCGCCCGCTGGTGCGCAGTGTGCATATTTAATCGTAACAGTAATCCTCTTACCTTTCTACAGTCAAATTTCCAGGCACCAAAACCTACATTGACCCTGAAACCTACGAGGACCCAAACAGGGCTGTCCATCAATTTGCCAAGGAGCTGGACGCCTCCTGCATTAAAATCGAGCGGGTTATTGGAGCAGGTGAGCCCATCCTGTGTCTCTCAGCTCTTTGTGTTTAGTCAATCCGTGCTCTCATATATCACGCTGACAGGCAAATATTTACACCTTGAATAAGGGACACAGCTTCATGCATCGTATATTGATAGAGCAATTCGGAAGAGGAGAAAAAGTTCATTGCAATTAATGTGTGGGCCGCGTCTCGTGGAGGCAGTCACGGAGAAGATACCCACAGTTGAAAAATTGCTGCCACATGAGTTTTACAGAAGCGGTCAATGACAGTATCTATGCATCTCCAGCATGTCTTATTATAGGTCTTGGTTACACTCCCCTGAGTATAACAAGATGTCGCACTCCAATTTGTATTCCAGCACAGCACAGCTGCTTTGTCTCAAAATACACTAATAAATTTGTCATCGCGAAGCGCTTGATGTTTTCTTTTTTATACACCCACCAGCCCCCTCATTCATGAGCTGTTTCATCCCACACAGGAGAGTTCGGGGAGGTGTGCAGCGGCCGGCTGAAGCTTCCCGGAAAGCGGGACGTGTCGGTCGCCATCAAGACGCTGAAAGTGGGCTACACGGAGAAGCAGAGGCGGGACTTCCTGTGCGAAGCCAGCATCATGGGACAGTTCGACCATCCCAATGTGGTTCATCTGGAGGGAGTTGTGACAAGAGGTAAACAGTGTCCAAAATCTCAAATCTGAACTCGGTATCGTCAGAGTATATTTAGCTTTCGGGAGGGGGTGCAGTTAGAGTGACATTATATCTGATTAAATTAGCCGCATTCCCTGTTTAACATTTTCTCATTTAGACACTGTAATAAAAGGAGCAGATGGTAACTTTTAATTAAAAGCCAATGAAACACACAGCTAAAAATAACTTGGAAGCGGTTTTGGCGCGCTGGTTTATTGTGAAGCATTTTGTAAGCAAATAAAATTTAGGTATTAATTAATCATCTCCTTTTTTGTCCATTTTTCTCTCTCTCTCTCTCTTCTTCTTCTTCTTCTTTTTTTTTTTCTGCAGGAAAACCGGTCATGATTGTCATCGAGTACATGGAGAACGGCTCATTAGATGGTTTCCTCAGGGTAAGTATCACCTTCGAAGCGCAGGAGGCTCAAAGCGGCATCTTTTTCGAACTTTTCTTTTTTGCTCGAAAGTGTCCCAGAGAGCAGGGAGTCTGCAGTAGGATCTGTGTAGCGCATAAATATCATAAATCTTGTGCTGGAGCTGCTGCAGTGCTGGTGACCTACATTTCCCTCATGGTCAGTGAAGATGGCTGACCTGCCTGTGTTTTTCTCTGTACCCAACAGAAACACGATGGTCAGTTCACAGTCATCCAGTTGGTGGGGATGCTGCGGGGCATAGCAGCGGGAATGAGATATCTCTCCGATATGGGATACGTCCATCGAGATCTGGCTGCGCGAAACATCCTTGTCAACAGCAATCTCGTATGTAAAGTGTCTGACTTCGGCCTGTCAAGGGTGATAGACGACGATCCCGAGGCTGTCTACACAACAACTGTGAGTCAATTAAAGTGCTCGCTCTCTCTCTCTCTCTCTACCAGGAGCCTTGTCTGAATTCTCTAATCAAGTCACTGCCGGTGCATGAAAATAGAGCAGAAGCACGAGTGCACGGCCAAGTAGTCTTCGCCGTTTTTTAATACGTGAGACAAGCTGTGTTCTTGCACAACTTTCTTGTGAGACAGACTTTACAAAAGGCTTCATAAGCTGTAAGTAAGTCTCTAATACAGGCAATTAATCATCTAGTAGTGCCTTATAGATAAATTATAAGCCCTTAATAGGAACCCTTGTGTCGCCAGGTATTGAGAAATCCCTTTGTCTGGTTATTATGTCTGTAGGAAAAGTGGCTAAGAGGTCATTTAGGGAAAATGTTGATGACAAATACACTGTTTTTGGTAATTGGCCTTTATCCGTCGTCAAATTCATAGCATAAAACAACCAGGTTACAACTTGGACCAGTCACAAACTTTAAATCTTCAGTAATTAATGAAGTAAAAATGTTTTTAAAATTAATAAAAATGGGAATAGAAAAGCAAAAAAACTTAATTTTACTCAAAAAGAGAAGTTTGATTATGCTGAAAAAGGACTAATAACTGTCCCAGACTCATATTCAAACTGGAAATATCCACATAATAGAAATAAATAATACAAAAAAACATTGTGATTTAATAAAGACAAGGACAATAAGACTCAATTGCTGGAGTAATGGCTGAATATTTAGTGTTAATTTTCGTTGTTTTTTTTNGGGCATCATATTAGAAAGCAGAATTTTCCTCTTTTTGCTAATTTGAACAAAAACTAAACATATAGCAGATGAGCTCTCACATCAGATTGCAGTATATTGCACAAGTGTTCCTAATAAAGTGCTCTGTGAGTGTATATAAGCTTATGAGGAGTGTAAACGGCAGCACAACACTGAATACAGAAAAGTGAGCAATGTAGATGCTTCATAAAACCGAATAATACACGTATAAAGTACATTTTGGTGATGGCTATTTTGCATGAATATACATTATTTATGCAGTCAAGATGGAAAAAAGTAAAAAAATAAAAATAAAAAAAAAACACATCTCTTTTTTCCATACTCATCATCTGGAAATCATCTGGAATCACTTTTTGTCCAGCTTGGTTTTTCATTGATATTGTGCCAATATACAATCAGTGCAAACAGTTTATTTTGCACATGCGATGCTAATCTCAAACAAAAGTCATCTGTAAGTGAAATCTGATGGAGATTCGACGCAGCTGTAAAAGCGCTGATGAACTGGGTGTAATATGACAAAAGTAGTAAAACGGAGAGAATTTGCACCTGTCCAATCACATTTTACACGACAAGCTCACTTAAGGCTGCGTGACTCCAAATGCAGGAGTTTGAACCGAAGCAGTATATCAGCACAGATTTTATTTTATTTTATTTTTTTTTTTAACTCAACAATTTATGCACAACCTGTTAATGTGTCCAGCTACTGTAGTAATAGCCCAGGGAAATTATTTGCTTTCAAGCAAAGCAAACACAAATTGCTTTGACTTTATGCTGACAACACGTCATGGGAAAAATCACTAAGCACAAGGACAAGCTACTGTAGTGTCATGAGGATAAACTCATTTAAATCTAATCAGTTACATTAGCTCCAGCCCTGAGTCTCACGGTGCCTTGTTGTGAGCCTTGCTGAGGGATGATGCTGCTGCGAAGGGGGTTATGGATCTGAAGCATCTTTAGATATTGTGAACATGGACAGACGTGAGGTTTGGCCACAATTCATGTCTTTTAAATTCCACTCTCTGCTTTCAAATTTCCATAAACAAAGCCAATTTTTTTTTCCTTTTTTTTGTAAATAGGAATAACCTAGGGGTTTATTAATGCTTGATACATATAATGTAAAAGCTACTTTATTGAACAGTTGCACCTGCTGCTTCCATACTTCTATTTATTCAGAATTTTAGCATTCTTTAAGTATCCAACTACCTGTAAGTCACCTATCCGTTTTCTCCTCCTCAGTTTAGAACCCCACGATCCGACCCGCCCACGCAAAAACCGCGCTCGCATCCAACGTTCCCGCACAAAAGGGCACATTAATTACTCACACCATATGCAGAGTGTGTCCTGTAACAAGGTTAGAAGCTTGTAGTCCAGTCAAAGCGTCCTTGACCGGCACGGGGAACCGCCGGCCTCCTCCGTGACAGCCTCAAGAGGGAGACCTGCAAGTGTGTAATATGACAGTCGAGTGCTCTTACTTCCCTTCCCAAAAATAGACGATTGGTAATATCGAAGCTTGATTGAGTAACAGCTGAGGGAATGTCGGCACATTTTTTAGCTCCCCCCCTCCTTCCCTCTGCTCTTGTCAGACGGTATAGTATTTCTCAGCATTTATACAGTGCAGATCCACTTGATTTAAAATGCATGAATTTTCTCCCACCCTCCTCTCCTCTCCCCTCATACACCACTCACGTTGACTTTACACACGGCAAGCCGTTCTTCGGAGCGATCGGCAGTTTGTCAATGCAAACAGTCTGAGCACTGTGAGAGCTCTGAATGGGAAACAATTCAACCTGAATGTGTCTTTGTTTGAGATGAAGGGCATCGCCGTCGCCGTCTGGGACTATTAAGCCCACTTTCTGAAACAGTAGAGCCGTGTGTATAAGGACGGCTCAAAAATAGAAGCGTCCCTCCTCCACTCCTCTCTCTCGGAGGAGAAGGGGTTGGGTGAGGGAGGAAGAGGGTTATCAATCTCCACGCCGCTCATTGGGCTCGATTACTGTATGTCCTGCAGATCTTTGATGTGCTGAAGTTCACGCAGAGCTTTTTTTTTTTCCTCTCTCTCTCTCTCTCTCTTGTCTTTTCTGTCCATGTCATCAGCCGCGATCGTCTCCAGCGAGCAGAACCCCGTCATCATCATCGCGGTGGTGGCTGTGGCGGGGACCATCATCCTGGTGTTCATGGTGTTCGGCTTCATCATCGGGAGAAGGTACGCTCTCGCGGGCCCCATTGACTCTCCGCTCCTGTGAGTCTGCGCTTGTCAATTAGCCTTTCTGTCACTCACAGGCCTCCACGTCTGTGGAGTCGTCACACGCGCACACACGTGCACTCATCATCTCGTGGCATGCTGTGCTAATGGGTTGTGATGCATCACCCCCCCCCCAACAATTTTTTATTATTTTTTTTTCAAAGCCATTTCTGCAGAGCCATAATGAGACAAGTACTCCAGCGTGAGAAAGCTTTGGCTCTGCATTCCTGTGTTTTGAGTGTGTAAGATCCCGGGCGCAGGACAAAGCATGGCGCTGATTTTTTATTTTAGTTTTTTTTCTACCACCACAAAGCACCCGGCCCGTTGTCAAATAGTACCATTTCCTCGCACGTTTCATCTGTGTTTTCATCTGCATGAAAGGAATTTCATCCAGACTTGCTTTTCATGATAGATTCAGCGCAACAGTGTTATTTTAAACCTTGGTATATCTTGTGTCTGAAATCGCCCTCCTTCTTTTCTAAGGTATAGATCCAAAGAGACTTTCACTTTGCAGTGTTATCAATTAAAGATCAAGTAAAAGCAGGTGCAAAAAGCCACTTCTAATGCAAACTAGTTCTTCAGAAGTCACAATACCCATTAACTGCTTCTTAATTTAGATGTTTTAGCCCCTTAAACTTTTCAGATTTCAACCAAACGGACTTTATATGTACCAAGTAAAGTTTCAGAAACAATCCAATGAATATTTTTTAGCACGTAACTTCATTCAAAGTGCATTTAAAGTGAGACAATAAAACACTTTAAATCACACCAGCAGTCACAATGAGCGCCCTTTGCCTTTGAAACAGTTTGTCAAGCTACTTGCCAGATAGGTTGTTCCAGCATTGTGGAGACCTTGTTACAGTTCATCTGTGGATTTAGTCTGTCTCAGTGTATCTTAACGTAATCCCAGACGGACTCCACGATGTTGAGATCACGGATCTGCGGGGGCTGCACCACCTGTTGCAGGACTACTCGCTCTTCTAGTTGCTGAAGATAGTTTTTTTTATGACTCTAGTTGGATGTTTGGACTTGTTGTCTGCTGCAGAATGAATTTTGGATCATGTAATGTGATGGAAACATCTAAAGAGCTTCAATCTTTTGTACAGTGCTGCATGTCTACATAATTGTCCATCTGGGCTCCGGTGTAGTTCACAGCTAGCTCTGTGGTAGCATTACGTGTCCTGTTTGCATCACATTTGATGCAAACAAGCTTTAAGCGCAGGCATCCCAAATGGAAAGTTTCTGTTTTGTTTGTTTTTTTTCATTCTGAAAACTCTGATTTTGGGTTTTCCTATAGTGATATCCTCATTTAACACAGCAGACCTGGTAAATGAAACATCATTGTAGGTTTACATCACAGCCATCAGTTTGACTTATTTCAGTTTTGCTTCCGAAAACCACTTTTTAAACATTGTTTTAAAGCATCCTGAAATCTGTGATTGGCTGTTTTAAACAAAACGGCTCATTTGAAGTCATAGTTAACGCATAAATTCTCATTAAGGCTTGTGCCGTGGACTTTTTTTTTTTTTTTCACCCAAGAACCAGATGATGATTCCAAAAGTTGGACGCGAGTTTCATGCCTCTCCAAAGCCTTCGCGTTCTCAAACCGTCAGCTACAAAACACAGTCTGTGCACAAAATAAATTGGGACTTTTACTTTGGGATGCTTAAAATAGCTCCCTCAACTTCTGTACTCTTAAAGAAACAATAGGAGCTTTTACGGTTCATTTTGTGACATTACTTAGGCTCAGAAAGTCCCTTCGACATAGTTCATGCAATGTATAACTGAAACACTGACTTTCTCCAGCCTGCCTAGAACACATACAGTATGCTATCAGTCGCATCACATCTGATGGCAGTTCTGAGTCGCGTATTCAACTCATATTCTGAAGACAGCAGCGTGATAAGTCCACATTGAAACTAGAGACAGTAATCTGGCAGAAACATTTCAACTCACGGTGCACTTACTTGCTTTTTCGGAAGCTTAAAGTACTCGCAAATAACTAGACGAAGAAGGACGGGGTTGAAGGAAGTCAAAGCATGTAGCACGAACAGTGGAGACACGCTACCGACACGCGTGTTTTCATCTGTAAGTAAGTGCATGTCCATCATTTGCGGCTTATTTCACCTTCCCATGTCATCGCTTTTTTCAATTTGTGCTCAAAGACCAACCTTGTGCAGCAAATCACCTGCTTGAGGGAACCTTCAACACGTTAATATTACAGATTAATATTACAAGACATGTTGAACAGTCCTTTACAGTGCATGTATTATTTGATATGTTACATGATTAGAGACTTGAGCTACTTTTCCCCGGGTCTCGGCTGCTGGGCTCACAGTTCCTGCTGCTCAGCTGGGGTTTCTTAAGAGATTTGTCATGCACGGCATTAGTTGCCGCATTAAAATTCTTGTAATTTAGGGGCGTTTATTTCCTCTGCACAATCAGTTGATTCTGCCACTCTCTTCCTCTCCCCCCGTGCAGGCACTGCGGGTACAGCAAAGCTGATCAGGAGGGAGATGAGGAGCTCTACTTCCAGTGTGAGTGCCTGCATTCATCAGCCCAAACACACACATACAGTATGAACTGTACATGCACACGTGTATAGACGTCTCTATCGCTTCACACTGCAAAGAAACGGCGCTTTAAACCCTATTAGCACCCGCAGGCTTGTCTGTTTTATTCCCGTTTGAGACGAAGCCAGTCTCTAGCAGGCCAACATCTGCTCCTGATTGGCTAGAATCCGTGTGTGGAGATGAAGAAGTCAGGAAACTAGAAACACATGCATGTGACAGCTTCAAGTGATGGGGTAAAAGGCTGACCAGTGTATAAAGAAAGAGTTCTTTTAAAAAAAAACGGAACCATGCTTAAGTCAGATGGTTTTTTTAGCGGGTGACAGATTTTCTGGTGAGTACACAGTTCGTTCTATCATTCTTCTATCAGTAAGAGCTATTTCTTTTTCTCTCTCTCTCTTTTCTTAACTGATATACCACACCTAATGATGCCCCAGGAGATACAGCTGCAGACAGCTTCCCCAAGTGGAGCCGTAATGATCCACACTGTAGGCAAACTGCTGATTTGGAAACAAAGGGTCAGGGGTGTCACAAAGTGCACGACTAGAGCCGAGGCAGCACCGGTGAGCCCAGGTTGGCTGCTGCTAAGTATCTGACAGATCCACCTCAGCAGCTCACAAGTCCCACCTGCTTGAAAAAAAAAAAAAACCCAAACTGGAAGAAAATACAAACAAGGGTAGTGTCGGGATTTAATGGAGGGATCCGCCGCACAATATCAAATGACGAGAGGCTGCCAGGGTGACAGAAGCTAGATAGCGTGCAAATCCAACATGTAGACCCAATTTGTCTGCCATGTAGGGGCGAGGAAGTCGTGATAAGACATCTCCTATCAGATCCGCTGACATCTTGGATGGACGAAGCAATTATGGGAGCAAGTGGAGGGAAATCTGGGCTCCCCCTCGTCGGAGCACAATGCATTTGTTGTATTTCTTGGTCAGCGTGCCTTTTCTGTACATGCAGAGCGTCCCTCCAACTGGATGTGCTCGCTGCTCTGTTGTGTTGTTTCAGTGTTTATCCAGAGTGTTATGACTGTACCAACTCATTAAATTTTAAAGTTGACAGTTTATGTTGTTATCGGTGGATTTTTAAAATGCATCGCGTAATAGCCCCCACGAGTGGTCTGTTAACGTAATAGTGCATAATGTTGTAATTTGCTCTTAATTTAGAGCACCGCACATAACAGTCACCCCTACCCCATCGCTGGCCTTCTTCTAACCTTGTTTGTTTTCCTTATTTTCTACAAACTGTTTCCATCTCATGGATATTCATGAATGGTTCCCATATCATTGTTGTTGGAGATTGCGCCAACTTAATTTTTTTTTTTCTTTTTAACGAAGTCCCACATCTCTCGCCTGAGGCATCAGTCTGTAACAAAAGAAGGCTGCAGCAGAGTTTCACACAAAACCTCATTTAGCTTCATTCAGAAGTGTTTTCTATAAGGGAAAATGTTGCATTTGCATCTGTCCTTTACCAGCTTATCGCTCTTTCTTTCATGTTCACTCCCAGTTTTTGCATATACCTGCTCATTGTCATCTGTAAATCAAAATGCAGATTGAACAACTGTTTTTTTTTTTTTTTAAGCCCTGAGTGGTGTCTCCTCCAACAATCAGACAGAAAGTGATGAGCAGAAATGCTGCGAGAATGTTGGAGGGATGGAGTACTTTAAAATATCAGAATTAAAAAGTATATATATTAATGTTATTTCAACTGTATTGATGGTTTAAAAGATATTCAGAGGTAGACAACCTTCATACAGCCTGACAGGCAAATCTCAGGGCAGAAAAACAAAAGTCATGTAGGTACTTTATGTGGAACTAAATATTTTATAGCATTGAAACATTACATTTTGAGATCCATTTATCTGATTTTGTGTAGTTTTAATGCACCTCCTTGACATTTCCACAATTCAATTTCAAGTGGTGCACTATAGTCAAAGCATTAAGGTTGATTTTTAAGTTGTTGTTGTTGTTGTTTTTTAATTGAGTAAGTCACCGACAGAGCATGGGTCTGAAAAGAAAAGATTGGAAACACTGGAACTTTTGTCCAAAATTCATTATAGAGTTTGGAATACATTCATTGAAATAATAATAAGCAGTGGCAGAACTTGAAATTGCCTTCTAAAAATTTCAAAGAGAAAAATTCAAACCATCTAAAATCTGACAAATGGTTTTCATAGTAAAATATTTCAAGGCTAGAAAACTGTAGCTTAAAAAATTCTTTGCTTACATAAAAAAAAAAAAAAAGTAATTAATGTTGTGAGCACAATGTAATAATGTTCATCAGTGTGGGACAGAGGGATTTAAAGATGCAAATCAAACTGAAAGTGAAATTAAAGGGAACTGCCCTCCTTCTCTGGAATGATGTCATAGAATGAACCGACACAGCTGGTTTCAGGGTTTTTCACCGGGGTAGTCTCAGTCGCATGGAGGTGAAAGGTGACCGACAGCCTCAAAAAAGCCCCACGCACGGGTTATTCAAATCTTTGCCTCCCTCTCTGTGCTGAATTTCCCCGTGTGAAAACCCTTTTTGACACCGGCCGCTGAGTGTTCAGCAATTCCCTCTGAATCACTGGTCTTAGTAATCGTTTGCCTGTCAAGCGCCCGCTGGTGCGCAGTGTGCATATTTAATCGTAACAGTAATCCTCTTACCTTTCTACAGTCAAATTTCCAGGCACCAAAACCTACATTGACCCTGAAACCTACGAGGACCCAAACAGGGCTGTCCATCAATTTGCCAAGGAGCTGGACGCCTCCTGCATTAAAATCGAGCGGGTTATTGGAGCAGGTGAGCCCATCCTGTGTCTCTCAGCTCTTTGTGTTTAGTCAATCCGTGCTCTCATATATCACGCTGACAGGCAAATATTTACACCTTGAATAAGGGACACAGCTTCATGCATCGTATATTGATAGAGCAATTCGGAAGAGGAGAAAAAGTTCATTGCAATTAATGTGTGGGCCGCGTCTCGTGGAGGCAGTCACGGAGAAGATACCCACAGTTGAAAAATTGCTGCCACATGAGTTTTACAGAAGCGGTCAATGACAGTATCTATGCATCTCCAGCATGTCTTATTATAGGTCTTGGTTACACTCCCCTGAGTATAACAAGATGTCGCACTCCAATTTGTATTCCAGCACAGCACAGCTGCTTTGTCTCAAAATACACTAATAAATTTGTCATCGCGAAGCGCTTGATGTTTTCTTTTTTATACACCCACCAGCCCCCTCATTCATGAGCTGTTTCATCCCACACAGGAGAGTTCGGGGAGGTGTGCAGCGGCCGGCTGAAGCTTCCCGGAAAGCGGGACGTGTCGGTCGCCATCAAGACGCTGAAAGTGGGCTACACGGAGAAGCAGAGGCGGGACTTCCTGTGCGAAGCCAGCATCATGGGACAGTTCGACCATCCCAATGTGGTTCATCTGGAGGGAGTTGTGACAAGAGGTAAACAGTGTCCAAAATCTCAAATCTGAACTCGGTATCGTCAGAGTATATTTAGCTTTCGGGAGGGGGTGCAGTTAGAGTGACATTATATCTGATTAAATTAGCCGCATTCCCTGTTTAACATTTTCTCATTTAGACACTGTAATAAAAGGAGCAGATGGTAACTTTTAATTAAAAGCCAATGAAACACACAGCTAAAAATAACTTGGAAGCGGTTTTGGCGCGCTGGTTTATTGTGAAGCATTTTGTAAGCAAATAAAATTTAGGTATTAATTAATCATCTCCTTTTTTGTCCATTTTTCTCTCTCTCTCTCTCTTCTTCTTCTTCTTCTTTTTTTTTTTCTGCAGGAAAACCGGTCATGATTGTCATCGAGTACATGGAGAACGGCTCATTAGATGGTTTCCTCAGGGTAAGTATCACCTTCGAAGCGCAGGAGGCTCAAAGCGGCATCTTTTTCGAACTTTTCTTTTTTGCTCGAAAGTGTCCCAGAGAGCAGGGAGTCTGCAGTAGGATCTGTGTAGCGCATAAATATCATAAATCTTGTGCTGGAGCTGCTGCAGTGCTGGTGACCTACATTTCCCTCATGGTCAGTGAAGATGGCTGACCTGCCTGTGTTTTTCTCTGTACCCAACAGAAACACGATGGTCAGTTCACAGTCATCCAGTTGGTGGGGATGCTGCGGGGCATAGCAGCGGGAATGAGATATCTCTCCGATATGGGATACGTCCATCGAGATCTGGCTGCGCGAAACATCCTTGTCAACAGCAATCTCGTATGTAAAGTGTCTGACTTCGGCCTGTCAAGGGTGATAGACGACGATCCCGAGGCTGTCTACACAACAACTGTGAGTCAATTAAAGTGCTCGCTCTCTCTCTCTCTCTCTACCAGGAGCCTTGTCTGAATTCTCTAATCAAGTCACTGCCGGTGCATGAAAATAGAGCAGAAGCACGAGTGCACGGCCAAGTAGTCTTCGCCGTTTTTTAATACGTGAGACAAGCTGTGTTCTTGCACAACTTTCTTGTGAGACAGACTTTACAAAAGGCTTCATAAGCTGTAAGTAAGTCTCTAATACAGGCAATTAATCATCTAGTAGTGCCTTATAGATAAATTATAAGCCCTTAATAGGAACCCTTGTGTCGCCAGGTATTGAGAAATCCCTTTGTCTGGTTATTATGTCTGTAGGAAAAGTGGCTAAGAGGTCATTTAGGGAAAATGTTGATGACAAATACACTGTTTTTGGTAATTGGCCTTTATCCGTCGTCAAATTCATAGCATAAAACAACCAGGTTACAACTTGGACCAGTCACAAACTTTAAATCTTCAGTAATTAATGAAGTAAAAATGTTTTTAAAATTAATAAAAATGGGAATAGAAAAGCAAAAAAACTTAATTTTACTCAAAAAGAGAAGTTTGATTATGCTGAAAAAGGACTAATAACTGTCCCAGACTCATATTCAAACTGGAAATATCCACATAATAGAAATAAATAATACAAAAAAACATTGTGATTTAATAAAGACAAGGACAATAAGACTCAATTGCTGGAGTAATGGCTGAATATTTAGTGTTAATTTTCGTTGTTTTTTTTTTGGTAAATTGTTAATTCGGGATTCATGAATGTGAGGAATATCTAAAGCTGTGATTTTTTTTCCCACTAATGTGTGGTAGAATAAATAACCGACTGATTCACTGATAATGAAGATATCAGTTGACTGCAGCTCGACTAATACTACCCAAAAGAGTCTTGAGGATAAGATCGGTCCACTTTGTCAATGTACCTCCACATGCAGATGCAAGAAATGCAAGACTAATGGACACAGTTGTTGAGTTTATTGCTTTCTAATAAGCAATTAAGTCTGCATTAAGTCAGTAACAATAATCCGTCAAGTCTGCAGCTGTAAATGGTAATACGCTGTTAATGAATGCACTTTGGTAGAGGTGCTCTGTAGCAAAAGCTGAACACCAGCCAATGGGATTTTTCACAACCTGCTCTCATACAGCATTGATAAATGATTTATTGATTACAGTTAAAGCCATTACTACTTATGAACCGGCCTGTTAGAACTCGTTCTTTCTGCTGAAGTTTGTGGGATGCTTGTCGTTTGTTTGTCTTCTAACCCTGTGTGAAATTCTCTCTAATTGATGTTTTAGGGGAAGATGCAGGATATAATGAATTTGATCTTTACTCCAGCCACTGACCTGCATTTTACTGAACAGGGTGGCAAAATACCCGTCCGATGGACCGCACCGGAAGCCATCCAGTATCGTAAATTCACCTCTGCGAGTGATGTGTGGAGTTATGGCATTGTCATGTGGGAGGTCATGTCCTATGGGGAACGGCCTTACTGGGACATGTCCAATCAAGATGTGAGTTACTATCAAATATAAAGTCATTACCTGGATAACACAGTTTGTCATTCTGCTGACGGAATACCTAATAAAGAAAGATCATAATATTCTACAAAGTCTGATGTAATAGAGCTTTACATGTGGAAAAACTGATTCAGTTCTCCAATTTGGGAACAGTTGCTACAGTATTTTCTGTATTAGTAGTTATTTTTTCTGCATGCGTTCACCTTTTTTCTAAAGACAAAATTCTCATCTAGTTTAAGAATCAAGAATCTGGCCACTTTTCAGTTTTGCTTAATTTTTTAAAACTCATTTATTTAGCAAAATGTCAAATATTTTGGAGTTTTAGTTTCACAAATGTAAGATTTTGTAGATTTCCTCTGCTTTATGTTATTACAAAGTCGATATGTTTGCGTTTTAAAATGCTTGAACAAACTGGGCATTGGGGCCACTTCGTAGACTAAGATAATAATGATAGATAATGAAAGATCATCATAGCAAACCAGTGTTTGTACTGTGGAGACTTGCAGTCAGGGTCTCAGCTGAGAATTACTATTTAACTAACTATGATGTGAAGCAGGCCCTGAATTGTGAGAATGTAATATTCTACTTCGATCCATCCCTAATTATGCCCTAATGAAGTCTTCTCACTAAAACATAGGAAATCACAGACAAAATTCCCAGTTTGTGGTTCTTTTTTTGAGGTTTTATTTTATTTTTTTTTACAAGACCCTCATGAGAGCAGCTCGGCGGGGACGGTAACCTTGGGCTTAATTAGTTCAAGAAGTCTTGCTATAATCATGGCGTTTGAAGGAGAAACAAGCCTGAAGTGGGACATGCATTAAAATGAAGTCCTGAGAACATGGATTTGGCGGCGCTATTAATATGAATAACGAAGAGTGGAAAACACTTGTCATGCAGAATGCTTTTGATTCAAATGTCTTTAAAAGTTTATAATGACTTATGGTAATGGGAACCAGTGTGACTAGCAGTGTTGAACCAATTACGCTGCAAACAACTCATGCATATTTTGCAGTTTGCGTCGCTCTCATTGCTTTGTTGTAGGGTTTAAGACAGCGATACTCTCCGATTTTAGTGGTGCGCTGCAAAATGTGCGCATCAAGGCCAGTTTGCTCATCACCTAGAGTTTGACTCAACCTGTGAAAACAGTTGGATAATGTTTTCTGTGGCTCTGGGGGAGCATTTTCCAAGTACGACAAAGAAACCCTGATGACATGATTAGCACGTTGCATGTCTTAAGGGAAGGTAAAACTAGGGTCTGTACAAATATCATAATTTTTTAGTGTCCCTAGATTGTATTCCTGCCTCTTTTATCTGTGTTTTGACACCTTTAAATGAAATATTTAAAGGTCTCGGTAGAGACGCTGGAGATGCACAAAACCAAAACATGAGTCAGCAACACCTGGTTGTAGCTGCTCCCCAACGCTTTAAAGAAATAACTGTTATTTAATTCTCAGAGAGGAGAAACAGAGTCAAACCTCAAATCCAGTGCAGTAAAAAGGAGATTTACTCACAATAGATTAGCTGAGACAACTGATAAAGTCATAATAAATACATTGTCATTGTGTCTGATGATATTATGGAAGCAATAGACAAGAGCTGGAGATTTAGGGGCTTTGTTCGGTGCTTTACCACATATGTGTCTTTATGGTGCAAAAATACATATAACCTATAAGAGATGTGCAATTAGAATTTATAACTTGTAGCATATCTGCAGTCTTGCCATTAAGTAAATTGTAAGAGCTGACTCCTGACATTGTCCACAATTTGCCTCCTCAAAGAACGCATTTGCTTTTTTAAGTCCTACACTTCTTTTGTACAAATGTCACAAATTGCTATAATGATCGACTCACCCGCAGTTCTCTGAGTGCTGTTGCCTGCTTTCCTGCCAACTCCCACTGAGAGAGTCCAACCGCGCCAGTCGCCAGACCACTTGAAGCCGTTCCTTATTCTCGGACGTTTGACACATTTTGATTGATGGCGGACGGCAAAGTGGGTTCTGGCTTTAAGATTCCTATACGGGCTTCCAGGGTTTAGCACCCACAGCATCCTAGATAAACACGATTAAGATTCTCCAGCACTCCAAAGCAGAGGTCTGCTGATTGAACAATCAGATGTTAGAAATGCTAAACAAGATGGCTGGGCATGAAAGTGGCATATGTGGTGTTTTGACGCTCCGCTACTTGACAGACATCAATGTCAGATTTTTTTTTTTTTTTTTGCGCTTTGTCAAGACGTCAGCAAACATCCTCCGGGGGATACAGGAAGAACATTATTTGCATTTTTCCCAACAGTTTCAGTGTTTTGACACTTTTTCCCTCCATGACTCATTCTTGTCTGAGCAGTCCTGACAGGAGGAGCTGATGAATATATGCAGAAACGTACACAGCTTCTTATCTGCACAATAAAGGCAGGAGAGCTAGGGGCTCAAATCAAAGTGCCCACTGCATCTACTGTTCTCACAGCATTGACTTTTAATGAACTCTACGCTAAAGTGCATGCGTGATGCGGAGTGACAATAGATCAGGTTTAAAGACTCTACAGAGAGATCTTCTCTATTATTTACCAGAGCTGTATAAATGCAGCATTTTGTTTAAACACATGACCAATGTAGGAAATTAATCTCCGGGAAACAACTCCGTCTGCACTGTAGCGTGAACTAAACTAAACAAAACCAGAAACCTGACCTTATAATGCCTCCTTAAAATCTAAAACTCACAGTCGGCCTGCAAAAAGCGGCAGGGATTGTTGTGATACGATCACTAAAAGAGTTGGTTAAAGGCCTAGCTGCAGAGTTTCGCTATAACAGATTGTTTTCCAACTGAGCCCAGTTAGATGAGAGTCAGGACAAAATAAAAGCATGCATAACCTTTTCAGGGATCAGTAAATGAGAGAAAAGGTTCTGATTTTGGTAATGCACCCAAGCTGAATAAATTGCGCAACCTTTTTAACATGACTGTCAAATGAAATGTTGTTTATTTATTACACGCTGGATCTAATTTCCTTTGTTTGGGCCATTATTACCAATATGAAATGCGATGAGCTGTAGGAACATGGTGACTAGTTAAACAAAGCTGAGTCATACAGTCAGCTTTCCTGTACACTATCCAAACCATTTACTTTAAAGTGAATCCAAATGTTAATGCATAATGTGTCCATTGTAATGTTTGATTACATCTTGCTATGCTGTTTATGTGCATGCAGTATACCGACCCAGTGATGTGTTGTTGCAGACCATTAGGGTCCATTTACATTCAGATGTGTTTCAAACATTTTTGAAACTGTGAAAGTTCATATGCTTTCTCATTGTATAACCATAGTGGTGTACTGGAGTCCACAGATCGCAGGAACAATGGAAAACATATCTAAAATAAGGCTACATTTCTTTAACGGATATCTGGTAGTTTAGGATTAGACTTGCATAAACATGTGAGAGACTGATTTAACTAGAAATAGTCATAATTAGGCTGCAGTTGGGTGGCACAGTTGGTTAGCACTGTTGCCTCGCAGCAAGAAGGTCGCCAGTTCACGCCCTGGTGAGGACACCCGGGATCTTTCTACTTTGCATATTCTCTCTGGGTTCTCCAGCTTCCTCCCACAGTCCAAAAACATGTTGAGGTTAATTGGTAATTCTAAATTGTCCGTAGGTGTGAATGTGAATGTGCTTGGTTGTCTGTCTCTAAGTGTAGCCCTGTGATAGACTGGTGACCTGTCCTAAGTCAGCTGGGATAGGCTCCAGCCCCCCGCGACCCTAGTGAGGATTAAGCGGTGTATAGATAGTCATAATTGAGGCCCTATGATGGACTGTCGACCTGTCCAATATGTAGCCTGCCTTCACCCTAAGTCTGTGGGATAGGCCCCACCGTGATCCTACAGAGGATAAAGCGGTGTATAGAAAATGAATGGATAGTCATAATTGAGGATGTAGTTGACAAGATATTTTGACTTTTTGTCTCTAGATTGAGTCACATTTCAAAATGGCTTTCAAATTCTCCCAAGTTTGCATCACAGAGTTACCTTTAGTGCCACAGAAAACATTATACAACCAGTTTTCCCAGACCGAGTACTTCCTCCTGATGAGGAAATTGACTCAGACGTAAAACGTAAACACTGTAAAGGGGCCATTTAAACTGTATCACATTTTCTTTTTCCTTTCTTTCTTTCTTTTTTTTTTTTTGCTAACATGCTTCACAGATAGAAGTGAAGATCATTAACAGCTCCAACAAGAAGGAAATAGAAAGATCTTGGCAGGCTCGTTTCGATAGAAGAAGCTAGTGGACATGAAATATTTTTTTGTATTAGTGGCGTAATGCCATGAAGAAATACAGCATTATGTGAAACCGGATGCTCCGCCGTTCCTTCTCAAAGCATATCAGCGTAGCAGCTCTAAATTGTTCTGCTTTGAGTTCTCATTTCCCCATTTGCTCGAACAAAGCTGGCACACAACTATCAAATCTGGTTAGGCCATTCATTCCTCAGCTCTACCTGCTGTAGGTAACTATGAATTAATTAAGCTCCAGCGCTGTTTACAAACTCTGTTAAAGGGATGAAATGTGCCTGGAGAGATGTAAATTATTCACACTGTCAGCAAGGCGTGGGGTAATGCGATACTCAAGGCTGACACTAAAAGGTTATGGGTTTAGGGATAAGGTTGAGGAGACACTAAAGGCAGAGTTAGAGGTGACACTAAAAGCTGATACTAAAGGGTTCAGGTTACAGAGTTAGGATTAGAGGTGATGCTAAAGGATGATGCCAGAAGAACCTTAAGAGTTTGGTCGGGTCAAAGTTTTGGGTTAGTCCATAGGGATTTGTTCTTGGGTAATACCGAAGGCTGATACTAAAGGGTTCAGGGTTCAGAAGGTTCCAAATGCTTAGACATCCTTCTGTTTCACTTTTTCCAGGTCATAAAGGCAATAGAGGAGGGCTACCGTCTTCCAGCCCCTATGGACTGCCCACCAGGCCTGCATCAGCTAATGCTGGACTGCTGGCAGAAAGACAGAGCCGAACGGCCCAAATTCGATCAGATAGTCGGCATCCTCGACAAGATGATCCGCAACCCTAACACTTTGAAAACCCCAGTGGGAACGTGTACAAGGTAAGGAAATAAAATCCCAAATGAATCACTTTCAAATGCGGCTTCGTATAATAAAGAATTTTAACTTATATTTTAGAGCATTAGCAGATGATCCGAGCTGTCCGGTGGATGATTTAGTTTCTCCAGTTCAAAGATGAAAGATAAATCCCAGGAGATCGATACCCCAAAGCAGCTTCCATGGCTTTATGGTCAATAGCGGGGCTTTTAAATCAATCTCTATAACGAGTTCTTAGTACTTTGGAGTGCGGTGGGAACTCCAGACCTCACTCTGACGTTTGTCAAATGAATTCTATTTGCAGTCAGAACATACTTTCCTGAGGTGAGATGGAACTAAGAGGTTATAACAGGTTAAAAAGCACTTTATTAGATGGATACTGTACGGGGTATGTATTCGGGAATGTATTCAGATTAAAAAGATATTGACGAAAGCATTTTTCAGAAGCAGAGGCTGGCATGCTGCATCTATTTGTGATTTTCTTATTGATTGAAGCCTCCAATCAGCAATTTTTTCTTCTTCTCGCAATTTACCGCACTGCTGGATGCCTTTGGTCGCAGCTTTGTCTTGTCTGCTGCTTGATTGTGTTTTCAGCCGAATGTTTCCTTTTCACATAAGACATAAATGTCTTTCTGTGCTCATCCCGCAGACCAATTAGCCCACTGTTAGATCAGAGCACACCAGACTTCACCGCTTTCCGCTCAGTGGGAGAGTGGCTGGAAGCCATCAAGATGGAGCGATACAGAGACAACTTCACAGCAGCTGGCTACAGTTCCCTGGAATCTGTGGCCAGGATGTCAATCGAGTAAGTGGATATGAAGCCCTCGGGGGGGTTAAGCATCAGTAGAGAGCATTAAAACCAACCACGTTTAGGGCTGTGATCTCACCTGCACTTTCCCTTTGAGTAAACAAATGTACTTTTGTATTCCAGTGGTCGCGCGTCATACCATGACATTTACGAGTTTGAGTAACTTACCATAAATTTTCAAATAGTAGCCCTGGGCCTTTATTTACTCGAGCTGCAGAGAGAATCACGTCTTTATCTCAAACAGGTATATATCAGAAAGAAGACTTTTATTTCCTGTTTTATCACTATGCTTTATATTTAGTAAGAAGCCTATTTATTGATTTGTTCCTGTTTAAATTAGCTGTTTTTGCACACTCAACACTTCCTGCATGTTTACCTGTCGTCTTGATAGACTCGGTGTAGTATACATTTCTACAGTGCTCATTTGGTTAGTTCAAAAAGAGAATTATGCAAAACCTTATTGGAAAAGTTGTTAATTATTAACTATTTCTAATCACATCCACATTACAGTTTGTCATTCAGGGTGAAAGTCAATGAGAATCAACACTTTCGACACAGACTTTTCACAATAAAAGCCTCTCAGAGACTCAAAGGGCATAATTCTACCATTTCCTGGTTGGATATTAATGTAAATAGTTACACAGAGTTTTGTTGATTGTGGCTCTATAGTGTTAGTGCAGCTTTAGGAGAACAGTGTTTTTGTTGCTGTACTACTCTAAATACAATACTTCCACCGCCAACTCTATCGCCTTGCTGATTTTTACTCAGCCTTTTATTTTTACTGCTAGTATTTAAGAATCTGCAAGAAGGTATACCTCTTGCAACTCACCAAAACAGAACTGCTGCTGAATAAATGAAAGAATAGAAACAATAAACTTTCCAGACTGTTTTAGCTTTTTAAAATCTTGACTGCTGCTTTTGAGGAGGCCAGGTGCTTTTGAATCAAGAGTTGAAACTAACAGATTTGACAAATACAACAAATTTTGAACTGTTTCTTTGAGCAAATATTTCCTCTGCAAAATAGCCCCAGCAAGCTGAGCTTTTTCCCATCTCTTCTATCAGCATGCACATCCACAAGTTGAGGGCGGCTACGCACTTGTGCATGTTAGTCGAGCTCTGTGACTTATCCGTCATCTCACAGGATAACGTCTCTCATTTCCATGTCATGTGGGTTTTTAAGAAGGTAAAAATATTTCCGTGCAGCCTGTCCCCATCTCAACTTCTTCCCAAAACTTTCCGAGGAAGAAAATCACCTACTTGAGATCATACATTTTGCTACAGTGTCCTTGGTATTGATGTTAAAATGTGTTGAGATTCATAAATAAGTCTGCTATGTTTAGCTGCCTTACTCACAATAATGAAAAAAAAAAAAAAAAAAACCTCAGGCTGTAAATCTTGCTTGTTTTGCCCCATATCGTGGTCATGTGGTGCGCTGACTGATGTGCTGTCCCGTCTTGCAGGGACGTGATGAGCTTGGGAATCACGCTGGTGGGCCATCAGAAAAAGATCATGAGCAGCATACAGACTATGAGAGCCCAGATGCTGCATCTCCATGGAACGGGAGTCCAGGTGTGACGAGCTGTGACAGGACGCCGCCTTCGGACGGGGCGAAAATGGGAAGAAAAAAAAAACAAAACTGAACTTATTCTGGAGCAGCGCCCGGGGACGTAACCGGGATAATCGTCAAAGTAAACGGACGTCTGTTATGTCTGACTCTTCCGGCTGTGTCTGGAGTGAAATCATTCCTTTGTTCCTCAGTGAAGGATTGTGGTCCGCCTCTTCAAAAAAAAGGGCACTAAAGAGAGGAAAAGGGCAAAAAAACAGCAACAAAAAAAGAAACTACCTGGACAAGACGACTTATGTTTTTTTTTCTTTTTTGTAGAAGCGCTTACGAGCTCAACCCACATATCAAACGGTGCATTGGAAAGGAGTTTGACGCTTATGTTTCTTTAACTTAATGGATGATTTAAGTGCACACCATGGCAGTGGATTTTCCTTTACAAAGAACAAAAAAAACAACTTGTCTACTTGCGGTGGTTTCACTTTTCTTTATCTAATTTTGTTAATTTTATTTGTGTCTGCCACAGTGACATGTTGTGTCACATACAAAGGTTCCTTTTTTTTTTCCTCTTCTCTGTGGACGTCACAACAGGGTAACTCTTTTATCCAAACGCAGAGGGAACTTTATAGGTTGCAGACTTAAAGGTACTTTTTTTGTGCTGAGATGTGCTGGACTGTTTGCAGTGACTAGTGTTTTCCTTCATGTGCTGTTGAAGTGAAAATGGTGAAAATCCTCACGTGCTTGTTTTGGCAGCCTACCGGAGTGGGTTCTCCACATGATTTCGACTTTTCAAAAGTTTTTATTAAGGAATTTTTTCCGATAAGTGCAACACAGAGGAGATGCGGGAGGCAAATTGTTCTTCGAATCACCAGACTTTTATATCAGAGTAGCAATATCCTTCGTCTTAGTGTTCACTACGGGGAAACAGAGTTTTAGTACAATAACTTGGTTATTGAGTAGAATGTTGCAGCACAGTTGAAAAGATTGTATTGAAATTGCAGCCACCGCATATTGTTTTGCCATCATTTTGCCTAAAATGTTGCACACGCTGTTTGTTTCAGTGCATTGCTCGGCTGCGAATACAGTTTTTAAGGGTGGATCCAAGAAAAGAGTAGACGTAATACTGCCTTAAAATGTGTTTAGATTTAGCATTGCCACTATTTTAGGCACTTCAATGGCAACGCTTTTCTGCGGCTCATTTCAAGGGTGGACAAGTTCCCTATTTTTTATTTTCTTCATTTGTTTGTTTTCCTTGTAGCGTGATGTCTTTATACGTGGAACTTGAACTGGTGCGCACGGACACGGTTTAATGCCACAAGTGACACAGTCAGCGAGGAAGAGTCGGATTAAAAAGAGCAATAATTACCAGGTAGAAACGGTCACCTCACCTGAGGTTTTTTTTTAAGGTGCTAGGTAGAAAAATGCATATGTGTGCTGTGCTGAGACAAACCCTTTTGGAAAGATTCAGTCACTGCCGGAAAAGGAAAGGAATGTACCTCTTTGACCTACAAACGGTTTTGGAAAGCGCTCAGAAAACTGCCGTGCCAAGTCATCAAATGAAATAATCATGTCGTATTTTGCCACTATGATATGCTAAAAGTTTGATGAGAATCGTACATGGCATGGAAATGTTGAATTCAGTGGCTGCAGAGATGAAAGAGACACCATCTGAAACACTAGAAAGGTGCCAATTAGCCATGCTGACATCATCTTCTGACACATTGCGTCGCCCCGAAATCAAAGAGCCCCCTTCAGGGTTTGGGTATGAAAATGCAGGACCAAACGACGGAGCCCGCGTCGGACGCAGACCGTGCTGTTAAATCCCTCCGTCCCGGCTCTGCAGGCAGCGATGCGGCTCCCCCTGTTTTTTCATGCGTCTCCGTTGCTCATCCCTCGCAGGCGTAGATGTGACAGAACATGCATTAAAGTTTTTCTTAAGATTGCTCTGCTTTTCTTCCCATACGGCTTTGTATGGAGAACAGAGATGAGGAGGGGGGGGGGGCGGCTTTGCAGAAGATGTGCTAAAAGCCAATCAACCTATTTGGTGCCATCTATCTCCACTTCAAGAAAAAGAAAAAAAAGAAAAAAATCAACAAAGAAAAAAAAAAAAAGAAAAGTTTCTATGTTGAGTATGTTTTAGTGCAGTATTCTTTGATAGAAAATGCAGTTATTCAACCGTCACGTAAAGAGGAGGGGTGTTCACAGTAGAAAACCATCATTTTACTGCTGCTGCTCCAACCTGAGAGACAAATCCATATTTTCAAAGCTGCGGTCATTTTTATTAAAGTGCTGTTTTTTTTTTTCCATCTACAATGCATAGAAAACGTTTAATCACATCAGGAATCAACCTTGAGCTCACTAACAAGCAGTAAAACCATTTGAAGCTTTCTTCATTCTCTCTATTACCTCCTCGACTACGTCCACATCGAGCCAGAAACATTTGAGAACACTTTCTTTTCTCTGTGCTTTGACCCTCTATCCACACTGAGCTACCGAAACGAAAGTGGTGGATAAATCTAGCAATGAAAACAAAGAAGGCGTACGTCTGCCTAGACACCGTCAAGGGCTGTGTTTCACTAAAGTCTGTCGCCTCTGAAGGGGAGGTTATAGTCTGAAAATCGATGTCTGTGCACGACCGACCAGACGTATATGATCGGCGCTTATGGTCTGCAAATGAAGTCAACATGATCTCAAGTTAAGACTGCATTTGGACAGCACTGCACAGTTCTATTTGCTTGTAAAACTAACAAGTAGTCACATTTTGGAAGTCAGGTTTGTCATGTAACACCCTGAAACCATGCAGTTAAACAAGGCATAGATAAGTTACTGCTCCTACCTCACCAAGAACTAGTTTCAGCACAAGAACTCCACCTAAAACCACAAATTGCTGCTTTTAAATTTCCATTTGATGCGTCGTGTTAATTGGGAGACTTAGCGGGTGCCGGTAGGTGTGTTGTTGCACTTTAAACAGTGTCTGTATGCTAAGCTGGGCGAACCGCACCCCGACTGCAGCGACTCATGAGAGTCTTATCAATCTTTTAATCTAAGGCCTTGAATATACTCCCGTGTGGAGGCCAACAAGGACAGCTGCGACGTGTAGTTGGTGTTATTACACTACTTTCTATTCCACTCGGAGCGCTTTCGGCGGCTGCACGGACACAAATTTTAGACTCGGGCGGACGACACTCAAGTACTTGCAGATGTACAACGCAGGCTTAACTCGCTCGAACAAAGCAAACAAATGTGCATGACAAAACGCCCGGCTGTCTCCTTTAGCAGGTAGCGCTTTTGAGCATCCTGTTGCTCCAAAAACACGACAAATAAAAATGGCAAAATTGTGCAGCGTCGGTGAGGACTTTCAGCACACGTCGAAAGAGGAAAGAGAAGAATGCAGCTGTTCTCTTGCGGGTTCGGTGCTTGAATGCGGGCGGAGAAGTCTATAAAAAGACCTGCAACAGCTAATGTGGATGCATGTCGTTTTCAGGCACAAACGAAGATTAGCGGCATCTCTGGCTTAGTGTGGACGCATGCTTAGATCCATTTTCACTGCGCGATTCACCTTTGTGAAGAGACACCAGAAATTAGCCCTGACCAGACCTCTTTGTCACACACACCCTCCCTTTATCCATACAGCAGAGCTCAGCAATTGGGCCTTGGCCAGACCTTTGAATTGAATACCGGCATAAAGTCATTCAGTCAGCACAAAACTCCCCAGTTCACAGGCAGCACTCCGTCTCTCACCCACCACACCAACCCCACCTCCGACTCCCCGCTCTGGTTTTAAAACCAGGGCGCTATAGGAGAAGGTGGAGGGTCCTCACACCTCCAGGGTAGATGCCTCTGTCACCCCCTCCTCCTTTTTTTTTTTTTTTTTTTGTTGTAATTTTCTGTGCTGGGGAGACAGCAGTTTGAGCCAAATTGAGATTAAGGCCAGGATACAATCGATACAGCGTCCAAATCACCTGCAACCTTCACCGACAGAAGTAACTTTACTATCTGTTTCAGCTTGTTTCATCAACGTTCTGAACTTCAGGTTGCTCAACTCTGGACAAAAAAAGAAAAAAAAAAAGGTTTTGTTGTGGCTCTGTTTCAGAAAAAAGAAAAAAAGAGTAAAAAGACAAAAAAAATTCTATAAATCTGCAGGATGTAGAATGTTGGTCAGAATCAGGAATAGCAGATAGAAGTTATTTTTCAAATTTTGTGGTTCAGCAGTTGGAAATTAGATTCACCGCTCTGGCGAGGTGGTGGGTAATTCCAAAGAGTGCAGCACTGTCGATTGTGTCAGAAAGAGCCGAGACTTGAGGGGATCTTTGCATATGTTCTAATTGTAAAACTTGTAAATTTTATTTATATTGTTTTTTACACATATTACTCAGTAGAGAGCTCTGAATACATTGAAAATGCACTATATTTTTCTATCTCGCAGATGAATTATTGTCACCCACAAGATTTCAGTTGTACATAATTTTTCATTTAGGACCAAAGACAGCTGATAGGATTCCCATCTTTACTTTGAACTTTGTTTTGATTTTTTTTTTCTTTTTTTGCCTTTTAGTTTGTTGTACAGTAATACAAATTGTCGATTTATTATTTATTTTTCTGTGATGAAAGTACTGAGAATATTCACTGGTCAAAAGTATTTTCCCCAATGGCAGAACTGTATGATCATTTAATTAGACAATTTCTTGTTACATAGACTTCTTTTTGCTTTGTAACCTTTGTAATAGACTGTACATATATTTTTGGAAATATAATACAATCTCTATAGAATTTTCAGGTCTCCTTTGCAGTGTTTTTATCACATTCTCGGCAGCTCAGAAGCCTGTTTGCATCTTGGTCACATTTCTTCGACATCCTTCCTATTTGTGGTGAGTTTTTGTAAAGAAAGTTTCAGCTCCTGCAGACACTTTAAATCCACCTCACTGGTATCTTTTATCAAGTTATAATATTCAAGAATGCTTCTTTTCAAACATGCAAACAGAATGTCTGATTTCTTGTCACAAAACATAAAGTATAAAAGGTTTATTCGATGCAGTATACATACAAACACATAGCGCTGTCCTTCCTTCATGGATATACCATCTGTACTTGGGTTTGGCTTCATTTTAGTGCTGATTATTTTTAGTGTTTCAAAGCCACATCAATCCAGATCAAATCTACAAAACTGCAGCTATTCTCACCTGATGGTTTCTAGCTATAGAGCCCAAGTGAAACTTAGTGATATATATTTTAAATGGCAACATACAGCATAACTTGTTGAGAAAGCACCTCCACTCAGATCAATTGAAATAAAAAGCATCACATCTTATTATACCACAAAGGAGATTTATCACTTGAAGTCTATGCAATGCACCTCATTAGCAGCAGTCGATGACTTGAAGCATCATGACTACCCCTGCCCAACGTGCTGCCGGTCCTTCTCCTGCTGCCAAAACACAAAACAAGACCTGAACTTTGCAGGACCTCTGAAGGTGCCCTGTGCTATCTGACACCAACATGTTAGCAGCAGATCCTTTAAACCCCTGTAAGTTGAAAGTTGGAGCCGCTGTGGATCAGACTTGTTCCAGCACATCTCCCAACACCCCGACACTCGAACCACTGTAAGCAGGTATGCACCGCTGCTGAACCTCCAAACCAGCTATGTGGCCACATTCATCTGGCCTTCGTCAAAGATGCTTACGTCTTCACACGTGCCCACTTCTGCATCCAATATGTTGACAAGAACCAACTGCTTTCACACCATTGTTACAAGATAATTCGATAAATATTCATTGCGATACAGTAAATTTGTGAGATTTCAGTAGGGCTTAGACGACCAGGATATTTCTAAGGTATTGTGGCTCTCGAGACCTTCCAGTTATGAAGAACCCAGACAGAGCTCAAACAAAGGATTTACCCATAGCACTCACCTTTGTGCGCACAATCCACGTAAATCTTTAAATCCCCACAAAAATAACCTGATGTACATATGGGAGAACCCTCTGAACTGTACACACATTACTGCTCATTGTGGCTAACAATGATAGTAGTAACAAAGCTGGAGCTCAACTTCAAGCATAAAAACACCACTTAAAAGCATAAAACTTCGCTATGAATCATGTTGCATTTCTATTGAAGACGAACTGATGAGATGGGAAGATGAGAAGGCCAAACTTGAATACTTCACTTGCACACACACACACACACAAACACATGCACACTGTATTTAGCAGTACTATCTATCACAACGTCCTTAAAGCCAGAGAGACATCTTTTAAAGTCTAAAACCAAATATGTCATATCCATAAGCCAAACAAGTAACTGACACAGTTTCAGCTCAGTTTGTCGTTATTGGACACTTGAAATGGGTGAGATCTCTGGCGCTTTCATGACAGACAGATCCAGCAACTCTCCATTAACGCTTTTAAATAGTGTACTCCCATGTGAAGCAAACTCATAGACATCAGTGCTTAAGCTACTGAGTTTACATGACTTGTTGGTTTGGCTTTTCAAGCATCACGGCCATTTTTACTACCAGACCTAGTTCTATATGAAGGCAAGACATATAAATGATCAGGTGATGAGTTCAACCAATAAGATGAATGCGCAGTAGTTGAGTTACAATTACATTATTCTAAGACGGGGTGCCAAAAGGGGGGGATGCGTGTTCAGCTCTACTTTGTATTATATATGTATTAGGATAACATTTACATATAATAATAGTGAGCGATTGTATCTTTATCTGTCGATTTATTTCATTTTCGCAGGGAAATTAAGCATACAACTTCTTACAATTAGTTTGTTTCTTTTCAGTTATATCAAAGAAGAACAAGAACGCCAAGACAGGAGCAAACACACTAGAAATAATACTTGTTTTGGTGGTTTCACTAGTTATTATCTGTAATATCACAAAATGGAAAATCTATGAAATTAAACTTTTCAGTTCCAAAAATTTACAGGTCACAACCAGTGAAGAATGTTAATTTTTGGTTAACCACATGGTAACAACAACAGCAACAAATCTTAAAGCTGATTGCTTCATCTGTGACTGCTTCAGACAGCAGAGCTATCTCACTGTAGCATGACTCACTACAACTGTGTCTTTTTTTCTCTGATCCTGTAATGTTGATCTTCCATTAGTTAAATATTAACATATCTTTTTGACAGAATCCTTTTCTGAAAATGTCATATGTTCAAGTTAAAACCAATAGTTTTATAAATTTGTTCCTAAAATTGGTTTATTCAGAATCTAAAGACCAAAAAGAAAAGAAAAGAAAAGAAAAGAATTTTGGTAAATTATTAATTCATTATTATTAAAGTCACGTTTTTTTAGTCACTTTTTAAAAGCTGTTTTTAGACTTAACAAATTAAACCAAGCAAAACACACCCTTTCAAATCCGGCTTCAGATTTACACACCCAGATGTTGCTGAGACCTTTTCCAACATACTACATGCCAAGTCTAAACATAAACCTGTTTTTTTTCCTGCCAAGCTCAGCTCTTGCTAAGGTTTTCGTCTTCATCCTAAAGGCTGTAGGGTGCAGATAGCTCCAGGCTCTGGCACTGTTAGCGCTGCACTGCAGGTGTTCGACTGCAACCCCGCTGACAGACAAGAACGCTGATAGTGGACTAATTTAGCAAAACTCTGGATTACATCCAACTAACAATTCTCCCTTTTTACTGTATCTGTGCGTGCCAACTCTGTATGTATGGTTAAAAATGATCTTGGTCTTGGCAAATAAACTATAGTTTTGAAACATGTGGGGTTCGGACACTGGTACCCTCTCCTTAGCCTTAACTGAGCAAACAAAACTACTCGGTTAACACAAAAAGATTGTGGTTATTGCAAAAAACAAAGGTTAAAGGTGTTCTGTGTTTTGAACATAGTGTTAAGGATTTTTTTTATGAATGGATCTCTGAATCTAAAGTCTTTAAAAATTTGCTTTACAAGTGCTTTACGGGGAAGAAGATGCCTTGAAAACATTCATTTGGTAAGCAAAGGATGAAACCTTCCTACATCATGGTGGAGCTTTGCAGATGCACCTGTTGCAGGTGTCCACCGCCACTTAGGACTGTGTCACAAATATGTGAAACAACCAGAAATGTAGCTAATTCATGTTTATGTCTGTGTTGTTGGTGTTTTTTTGCTTTTTCCAAGTGGCACGGAAAAGCCAGTCAGACGTCACAGTGGACAAAGTGGAGTGGAACTGAGTGTTAAAAGTGAATTGAAATTAAATTGAAAGAGCATTACTGGCAGACCTGGTGCATTTGCAGCTACAAGCAGTGCTAATTTGAACTCTGCTGTGGTAGTTCAATTTCCAGGTCAAGAAAATTTCTCAACCAATCGGCGTTTGAACTATGCGTAGTGTTATCGCCACGGGGCAACACCGTGTTGACTGGAGGCCTGCACCTAAGACCAATTGGTTGAATTGCTACAATCCCTCACTCTGTGAAGGCGGAGAGTCACGCAACCAGACACCCTAAGTAACACTTAATCTACCTTAGCACTTAATTTAAACATGAATCCACATGAAACCTTTATGGGACAGTTAGGGTGAGGCAACTATACTGTAAAGCATTTGAGTATGATAAGGTTTTGTAGGTTTGCATACATCCACACCCTGCCTTACCACATAAAGGCCTCATTACCTTCTGGTTTGGCATCAAGCATTCACACGTGCATCATCGTCCAGTATGGACACAATTATAGGGATACAGGGCTGCTTTTTGAGAAGATTACCCAAGAAGTCGTAGATCAACGTGTTTTAAGACACATTTATCTTTTCCTAGTTTACAACCACCAGTGAGGTTTGTGTGCGAGGATGTGCTTGGGAAACTGTGTGGACACGCTTGCAAACTTGTTTGAACATGCATGCATGATAAGACCGTCAGAATTGTCCAAACACTCCTCCAAACTTCCCTGTTTTGTACTTTAATCTTCCAGAAGTTCCAGTTCTTCAAAAGAGATTGAATGGATTTCTTCTGATCGCATCTTTCAGCACTTCCAGTATTTATTCTGGTAAGTCCAGTAGTGGCTCATCATGCTGTCTCCAAGCCTGCTCGACTGTCTCTGCGAGGCACGAGTTTGGTTTTCACATGAATTTGGCTTCCTTCCATGTGTTTCTCTTTGCGGGTTCTCCCCAGTTCCCATTAACTTAAGCTGCACAGTCTGATCCGGCTTCAATGGTTAGATCATTTGCAGAAGTGCGGCAGTGGGATTGAGCATGTGCAAAGGAGGAATGGTGCCCTGGTGCTTTGTCTTAGTGCCAGGCTTTAAAATCTAAAGATAGATACTTATCCTAACAGTCAGTAGATAAAGGAGGCACTCTTAATCTGTGATCAAACGTGCCTCATTTTAAAACCGATTCGGTCCTTCTTCTTAGTTTCTGCTGTCAAAAAAATGTTGGTGGCTTTGGTGAAGCAGCAGCTTGGGTGACAAGACACTTAAAGGGTAATTCACCCAAATTACCAGTGATATTTAAACATAACGAACAGCACGAAGCCCATTCAAACAACTAACCAAGATACAGAGGAAGAAAAGCAACACTAATTGAACAAACCCCATCTGCTCAAGAAGATTATGTGATATGGTTGAAAGCTCTAGAATAGGCTTTGTGATGTGACAACTTTGTGTCGAGTTCAAATTTTACAGGAGTTTCTAGAAAATCAGCAAAAAAGAAATGCAAATGAAGAAGCTTTTCTGTCATTTAAGGCAGAAGCTTCATTTATGGCATGAGCTTTTTTTTTTCTTGCACTTTTTAATCCATACATCAACTTTTTGACTTTTACACTAC